ATGGGTTTTATTAAGAGGTGAGCCACGAGCTTAAGCAAGTATGTAAATCGGGATCGCGTGTCGTTGGAGGTTGCCCATGCCTGTTGTAATGTCTGTGATTACTAGTGATGATCATAATGCGAACCATGATGAATTTAATTGGAATGGAGCGCATTTCTTACAGGCCTCTGCTGGTGCATTGCAGAATCTTGCTGCATGCCAGTTCGACCCGTCGGTCAATGTTCGGGCCTGTGTGCGCACGGAAAAGGGCCTACCGGTGCTTGTCGAGTTGCTTCGATTGCATGATGATAAAGTTGTTTGTGCTGTTACAACAGCACTGCGAAATCTCTCTCTCGATCAGGTACTGATTACTGCTTCGTTTTGTTTTTTCGGCAGTCACGGTATGAATGTGGAGGAGCTGAGCTGCCTGCAGGGCTTTGGTGCCTTTTGTAGGTCAGAAAAAATTCTGTCTGCTAAATCCGGTTTTTGTTCGTCGTAAATCCCTAATAAACAATGCTTTAATGCATATTTAATATCATGCATCTGTTGGCTTTGGTTCTTTTGTGATTTAATTATTTTGTTCACCTAGTCACTCACTCCTGTAATGTCCGTCCACTACAGACGTGCCTGCGAGAACTTCAAAGGAAAATAATCTGTATTAAAAAAAAATAAAACTCCGAAAAAACGAGGCCGGGCGTTTAAGCCAAGCAACAGCAACAACAACAACAACAACAGCAGTAGCAGCAGCAGTAGCGGTAGCAGTAGCAGCAGCTGCTGCTGCCCTTGGATCGCTGGAACGATTGCACCGAAGACAGCAAGACTGTTTAGGGAGCTCCCTTTCTACCTTCGTTCAATAAGCTGCAGCCGCAGAGCGTGAATAATTGTTAATTCTCCTTCGTAGCAAGCACTGGCGTGCCTATCATCGGAGTTGATGTCAGTTTGCTTCTGATCAGCTATCGGCGGGGAGAAGTTTGGGGCAGGGCAATTGTTCTTGATAATTATTTTTTACCACACGAGCTGCATGCCACTGTCGTTGTTGTTCTCAGGAAGTGTGCGTTAAGAGATTTGAAGAGAATTATTTGAAAGCTGAGATTTCAAAGTAACAAAGGACCGTTTGCTGCCAT